TGCTGATTTTGGCATGTCATCTGTCGAGTGTTGATATAGCGAGAATTAGAGAGTACAAAATATGTTTGGTCTCGGGATTACAGAGGAAGAGTTAAGTTATTGATAGTTAAATCAGGAATATTCAGATTTTGTTTAGTTGATAGACTTAGGTATAGAGAATTTTTGACATACTATTTAAATTAGGCCAATAAATTAGTCGTTTCAACCTGTAAACTAATTGTAAATATGCTTTGAAGAAGTAGTTCTTTTGGTGGAATCTATCAACCCTAATTCCACATTACTATCAATGAAATTAGGAGCCACATTAATCCTTGCTTTCTCGAGAAATAAAGATCACCACAAACATTTTTGTGTGTAGCGAGTTATATTGACTCTGACTCTGATTGACTGTGATAATGGTGCCTAGCTCTGAGGATGTCTGTCAAGTGACATGAAAGATGAAAGTTTAGCATGAGGGGTGTGTCGAGAATCACTTCAATCAGACATTTTGGTAAAACTGGCCAAGAGAACTCGGCAAATGTCTTGTGATGATGTCGACTTTCAGCTTTCTATTTCACATATTTTCACACCAAATGTAAATGAGCTCAGCAATTTTATGCTAAGAGCTTCATTAAAAAGCAACTTTTAGTCGTCTATTTGTTTTTGTCGTGTTAGAGGACTGTTAGTCTATTCAAATCACCCTATACAAATTCGTATATACACTAAAAACAATCCACTGGTATATGAGATATGTTCACCATATTTCGTTCGTCTCAAAAACCCACCTATAAACGAAAAATCCGCTGTTACTTGCGAAATAAAATGACTATATTTTTCCTCGTTATTTCAAAGGCACTTGACTCTTCCATGATGCCTTCAAGACAGTGCATATCAAGATTCGACAGCCAAGCATATCAACCCTGGACTTTGGTTCCGTTCAGGAAAGTTCATCTCTTGAGTAGACAACTTTTGTGGCTCGTTTAAGAGAGGTCTCTCATTCTCGACCCTGGCCTGGGCGTTCCTAAGCTATAGCAGAAGACTTGAAAACGTGCTCCTTTTTTGGACATGAAATTGAGCTAGCCTAGGTCACTTAAGTTAGTGTAGAGATTGAAGTTCTAGGTTCACACAATAAAGTAATTACTCCTCCTGCATATTGTAATGTGGTAAATTAGTATAGCAAATATCAGTTTGCCATTAAGCAACTAGGAGCTGGGAAAAACCTAACTTGCCCTGAACGTCGCATCGACTCATTGACCTCCTGGAAGCCCTGGCTGTGTGAGAGAATGGCAACATGAGGCGACTTGGCGCGGATGACCCAGTTTCGAAGCGTGTCAGAGGTGCTAATAAGACCAAGACGAGGCAGGAATAAGAGCCCTCCCCCGGTGATAAAACGCACTTGGAGGCGAGGATAAATGAATTTAAATGACGTTGTGGAGCCAATTCATTTCATCGTGAAGTATTGAGCAATGGCATTTCATTTCGAAAAAAGAGTTAGTTGGAAGGAATTATTGCATTGGTCTTACAAGAAAAGAAAGGAGCATTATATGAGATGTATTCATCACATCAGCACCACGAGCAGGACTCGATCCATGAATCTCGAAACATCAACCACTACGCCACATTGTCAAGAGTGCCCTTTGGTAGCAGAGCAGATGTCACTTTCTAGAAGGGCCAGAAATTTCCCCAATCACTTTCTGTGGCAGAATTGTTGATGAGGCAAACCTATATTTGCTATCGCAGTCGGATATCTTGCTTATTTTTTGTTTCGAGATTACCATTAAATCATATATATGAGTTGTGTTCACCTTATTTCATCTGTTGTGATAAATGACTGGCATTTGCATTTTCCCACAATCGTATGTGTAGACCTACAATTTTTATTGAATTTCACAGCCTCGTTTTCCTAAAATGTTTCCTTGTCCGGGTTGGAGTGAGCTGTGGGTTTAACCTCCCGTGGAGGATGCAGAATGGGCTAGGTTCTTCGAGGTCTTCTTGAAGGCGAGATCAAGACGCAATTTATATAGTGAAAAGATACTACCAAAAAACAAAGACTACAACTTCTTGGTCTTCATAACAATTTAGAGTCCTTTCATCAAGTCATTATGATCGTCTCAAATTTCGTCTTCCAAAAGACTTGTTTCGCGTCAAAGCCAATTTCTAGTCTGTTTAGATTCTTTTTTTTTACTCGAACTGGGGATTCTCCATTGCGACTGAAGCGCATGGAGGACATTTTTTGCCACAATTTTATTCTGAACCTGTCACTTCATTGATGTGTAGGGAAAATAGGGAAGAAGTGGATTGATCAAACTTTCATAATTTAGTCTTGTTGTTAAAGGGACTTAGTTGAACGAGGATATACGAAGAAAATGCGGGTTTAGAGGGATTCCGTGTTTCATTATTGTTGAGCTTACTTCCATTTCGAGGGAAAGTGTTTGGTGAAGAGATTCGAAGGACGATTCTACCAGAAGACAACGGTGGATTCCTCTTGACCAACTGTTGATTGCTTTACTGGAACATTCATGTTGGCGCTGTCTCCGAGGTAATCTCCTTAGATTACGGTGAGAACGTGCCCAGCTTTCGTCCGTCATATGACGAACATAAATCGAGCAAGGTATCATCCTTACAAGCAAATTCAAGCTAACGAGTCAAAATATGACAGACGAAAGCTTAGCACGTTTGCTCCAGAATCGAAGTAGACTACCTCGGAAACGGCGTCTTTATGAAGGTTCCAGCAAAGCCAATCGACAGCTGGTCAAGAGGAATCCGTCGTCATTTTCTGGTGGAATCGACCTTCGAATCTCTTCAACAAGCACTTTCACTTAAAATGGAAGTAAGCTCAACAATTATTTGAACGCACCCTGTCCGAATTTCTCTGCTATAGTAATTTTCACAATTCCCAGAATCAGACTGTGGAGTTGGTACATTCGCAAAAGTTTCGCCGGGTGGTAGTTGGATGAAAGGGTAAAGAGTGGATAGCTGGTCAAGAGATTAACTAAACTTGTCTCTTTGACGAGTTCGTAACTTGGTGCAGAGAATGGCAAGACTGATGATGCCGACTATGGTGCTAGCGAAACGTCTGATAATGTACCAAATCCACGGTCTGATGTTGGGAACTATGATAACTACTACGAGAGAGGACTTCGGACAGGGTGCATTCAACTAAGTCGCCTTGACAACAAGACCAAGTTTCGAAAACAAGGTCACCCCACTTTTATAATTCGAAATGAGACTGCGACCATACCGAGGGCCACACCATCCTGGTCTTCACATCCCCAAATAGGGCAGGTTCACTCTATTCTCTTGACGAGTTCTACTTTTATCCCACCTTCTCTGGTCAGGCGACTGTGAAGCGTGACCTTTCCTCTTTCACCTCGGCCTCGGGTCCAAACGTCGGGCTTCAGAGCCAAAACGGCGGCGGTGACATGCAGGGCGACCAGAGCGAAGGGTTGACTTCCACCTCAGCTTTCGTCTCTTCGTCATCTGCTTCGGTCGCTTCGCCGAGCGGACCGATCAGTTTGGCCGACTGGCTGAGCGCCAATCGGCTGCCTGATTCGGCCACTCTGGGCGCTGTCTTCAACAACTATCGTCATGGTAACGCCGACGGTAGCGAGGCAAATGGCCCGGCCGGTCTGGCGGAGGACAGAGCTGTTGGCCGCCGAGTTGGCTCGTTGAGCTTCGAGGCAGCATTGGCCGGACTGACGGTGGACGAGACCGAGGCCCGATCGGGCGAGTCAAGACAAAAAGAGGCGCTTCATTGTCTTTTAGGTGAATACAGGCTTGTCGGTCTGTCTATATCCTTATCCTTTGTAGATCCTTATGTTTGTATGCTTGTCTTTACTTAAATCCGATTTCGCTATCATTTACTCACTCCTGCAGGTTGGCGTCTGTTTCACCAGCGCTGTTTCCGCTTCTACAG